TATTGTCCATTTTAAAACTAAAAAACCCACATGAATTTACCTTTGGTTTAACTAAAAAAATCTTGCATTAATAAAAATAATTAAATATTTTTCCTTTACTTATCTACCTTAGAGATCATCTTTTCTACATTTGCATGTTAGGGTTACAAGAGAGCAAACAAAATCCCACGTTAGTGGTTAAAATGAGGTGATTTGTAGTATATATAAAAATTGACAATATCTCTTGGTATGAACTCTTTTGGGTGAAACAAAAAATAAAATCAATGAGGATTATATTTAAAATAGACAATATGGGTGGAGATATACATAGTGGTTAAAATTATATTCCATGCATTTTAATAATTATTCTTTATTATGGAATTTAAAATAGAATTTGAACACTTAGTTGAAAAGAATTTCTTGAAACCATTACAAAAACAGTCTTGGGAACATGGTTTTAGTGTAATGAAAGAAATTAAAAGTAGTCCATTGAATATTATCATTAATTATCATAATGTTTGAAATATAAAATGTGTATAAAAGAATAATATTGGAGACCGATTACTACAATTAATTAGAGATAGAAAAATACTCAGGTCGTGACGAGTGAGGACCTATTATGCATTACCGTGTTTGACAATTAAAAGAAATAAATTCTATTTTTAAATACTGAATTGTAATTTTTTTATTAATGAGATAATTAGTATTTTATCTAAAGTAAATAATAAAAGATCATCTATGTGTGCATGCCATGTATGCGCATACATCATTAACATTCCAATAAAGGAAAGAAAAGTAGAGAATAGATTCGATTATATTGTAAAAGGCCCACACTTGAAACTTTTCTCCGCGACCCAAAAGAAAATTTGAAAGATTCTCGACGCCCATTCTGCCGCCAACGTGTTTGATGATATGTATTATTAGAACTCGATGTGGTCATCTATAATAAGACAAAATTTTTACGGGATGATGAATACTCTTTTCATTAATTACCTGCAACGTCGATATCTTATTAAAAATGATGTAACGTTAAAAAAATTTTGTATAAAAATACAAACTATAGTATGAATAAATAGTTCGATACTCTCATAATATTATAACTTTACCCACCGTATAATAGTCGTGCATGCATATACCTTGTGCATTCACTGACTTCGCTCGTACTATAATATGATATACCTATATTTGTTGATGGATATTAAAAATTTTGTTCAATAAATTAATTGAGAATACTTCTTTATCTAATACACTTGATTTAATACTTCTCTATTGATTGGAGAGAGAAAGGAATATAAAGAAAGAACGAGATTTAATAAATAATTTATTAATGTTGTTTGATCTCTTTATCCCAAAAAAAGTTGTTTGATCTCATGTGTGTAGTTTAATTTTTAAGTGTTTTTAACATTACTTATAACAAATAACAGTTATACGAAGAATTGTCAATATTAGAGTAAAAAATATTTGAAATGCTAGAACAATGTAGTTAACAGTTAAAAGGTTGGAAAATACTTGGCTTCAACGATAATGAGGTCTTTACCACTATTAAATATTTGACAATTTAGAGAGATAAATGTAAAAACATAAAGATTTTTTAAAAAATATTTGTCCTTTTTTCCACCATTGAATGTTTAACCACCCATCGTTTTCTAAAAAAAATATTTATATTTTTACATTTTTTCAGTTGTCAAATATTTAATGCTGGTAATAACAAGGTTGTTCTCGCGAGGAACCTAAGTATTTTTCTTAGAGATTTTATTACCTAGCATTTCAAATTATAATAACCAAATTATAATAACCAATATCTGAAGCTCTTGTTTAGAGATAGTAAAATTTCTAGAGGAACAACAGTTTCTTATTGACTAAAAATTTGATAGCTCTGGCTCTCAGTTGCTTAATTGCATTTCTCAAATTTATTTGTAAAATAAAAAATAAAAATGAATTATGGGCACTGGTGCTCTCAAAAAAATTTATCCTTTAAATAATAATTAGATATTAACCCGTTCATACTCATCTAATTACTAACCACCACTAAAAATTCAATGGTTGAAAAACATACGTCTCTTATCCTCACAGATAGTTTAGGTGGCTTGGAGTTTCAAGAAATATTCTTGAGGTCTTTGATTCAAGTGACAAAGAATGCAACTTCACCAAATAATTACCCTTGCATATGTACGGATATAGGGACGGTAACTATCTTAAATACAGAGACAAAAAGGTTAAAAGGCTGCCTACTCCGGTCTAAAAGAAACATACATCTCTTGAAAAAATAAAAAATAAAAAAGAAAGAAAAAGTGGTGTGTGGTATGGGTATGGGTATGGTATGCTGCTAATATTCTGTTTATTATTCTTTTTTCACATAGTTTGCGAAAATTTGCCCCCGTTGGATCGGCTGATTCTATCTCCCACGTGCATATTTCTCCTTGTGATGCTTATGCTTATATAAAGCATCAAAACTCTCACCAATCTTCATCAAAATCAGAATTAATTGGGAAAACAAAAATGGGTGCCATTTCAAAGCCCGTTGAGTCCTCCAACTGCAACGACCAAGGGGACAATAATGGCTACAAGAACTTCCTGGACCAACCGCCGCCACCGCCTCCGCCTCCGCTTCCACCCACCTTCGGCGGCGGCGGCAATGTCAGCGCAGATTACGACTATGCTCCGGCGGCATGAACAAATTGAAAAGAGATGGAGGAGGAGAGCAGATTAATGCTAATGGGCGTTTGTTTTATCATTTATTCGGTCAGTCAATTTTCTGTTATTAAATGTAATAATTTTGTTGTTGTATGATCTCGATCGTACCCGAAAAATTATATGTAAAATCAGTTTTCTTCTTCTTAATCTTCTCCCCTCCTCTCTTCTTTGCTCTGTTGCTGTGTATTCACGAGGTTTAGATATGTGTGTTGGAGCACGGTAGATATTGGGTAGAGATGAGTTGGTATATATAAGTGACCCAAAAATAGTTATGGTTATTTTATTGAAATTAATTAATGGGTCATGTCTCCAATCTAATTGAGGGTGAGTAGTTTATTTATCTAATATAATAAACTTTATTCGATCTCACATATTTCTCGAGATTTTTAACATTCGTCAAGATGGTAGTCTTTGTGCTCATCAATCTTTGTTTGAATTGCTAGCTCTGATACTAAATCAAGATTCATGAAGTTATTTCTTACGATCAATTTACAAAATATTTCATTTATGTCGTAAATCTCTTTAAATCTCCGTGTATTTTTCAAGTAGGATCCTTAAAATTTAAGATTATAGTAGAAAATTTAGATGGTGAGAAATCAAAACAAAATAAACCATCAAAATGGAATTGATTAAACATCAATTCACATCTTTCTCTCAGAGAATGGAAATTTTTCCTTGTCTCTTCGCTCTCTTTCTACATTCTTCCCTCCTATTAGTGCTGGTTAGCAGAGAAATATTATTTTAAAGAATTCATAAATTAATTGTTAATGGTGTAAGATAAGTACTTCAAATATACTAGATTAAATTTGGTTGATCAAACGGCGATGAAAATAGTAATTGATTCCGACTTTAAAAAGATAATAAATATTTGAACTTGTACTCAGAAAAGAAAATATAAAATAACTCGTTTTTCTTTTAGTTTCTAGAAGTGTATATTAATATAAACATATTTTCAGGTGTTATATTTACACATGTAAAAGGTGAAATAAACAAACAATTGATCATTAAATCCGAGATCCAAGTTTGACAATGGCAAGAGATTCAATCAAGATCATCGTCAAGTGGGACCCAATGATTTAGATTGAAGCACGTGTGATTTTTATGCATGATCTGCTCCAATTATGTTGCTATAATCATCGGTCATTTCTTTCAAAAAAAAAAAAAAAAATCATTTCCATCAACACAAGAGGTAAATCGATATTTCTATTATATTATCAAAAAAATTGACAAAATATAAAAAATATCAACAAAATTTTACTAATATATACATAATATTAATATTAGTTATTTTAAACTTATTTAGAAATAGAAAAATGTTTATTTGTTAACTTAAATATTTTTTACTATTTTTTAATTTCTCTCATTTTTATAAGAATATCCATCGATATTGATATTTTTATCGATATTTTCGTGAAATTAAGATTTCAACATTTCTATCGACATCGACCTTTAAAGCTTTGATTCTTTGGAGGGACCACGTAATCAATTATATATGTTACTTTAAAGATCATGGCCTAATTCAATACCATACTCTACAGTTACATAATGGATATACGGTTCTTTTAATTAATATATACCACGTGGCAGTAGTATTTGAATTTCAATATAATTATTCATCAACTTTATACAATAAATTGTCAAATCTTATTTTGTCAAAAAAAAAAATTGTCAAATCTTATTTCCTATTCTTAATTTTATACGTTCAATATAATTAAGCATCACACCTATTTCGTTATGTTCAATACTTATTTGATAATTGAGTTAAACTTCAATCAGATAATACTTATTAAAATAACTGTTGTCTTAATAAATAGAAAAAGGTTGTTCTTTATTATTATTATTATTATTTATTTTTTGCTTCATTTAGTTTGTTTTTAGGAATGGCTTACTGTAATTTAATTAAGAATCATTAAATTGTTGTCATTTTTTCAATCATCAATAATAATAACTAAAATTGTTATCATTTTATAATTATGAATTTATTAATAGTGATTTTAGGTAAATAATATTCTCATAATAGTTAATAAGAGCAATATGTGTATATATATATATATATGTTACATAATATTGTAATTTACAAAAGTAGCCCCATTTTTAAAAGCAACCACTGAAAAGATGCATCGATCTGGAAAGTAAAGGGCTACTTGCCAAGTTGCTAATAGGGCATGCATTTGCTTACATACTTCAAAATTTGTTGGTGTTATCTATAAATTTAATGTTCATATTCTAATTCAAAATTATTATCATTATTTATTTATTAGAAATTATATTAAAAATAAGAAGAATATATATTTAAATTATCAATTCAAACTTCAATCCATCCTTTTTCTACACTAATTTTAACATTTAGACCAGAAGATTTGCTAAGCATAGAGAATAGTATTACATGATGCAACAGTTTAATCTGCACATAATTAGCAGAAACAGATTCCTATAATTAGTAAAAGAATATTTTCCATGAATGACAGTGCTCAAAAATCAAAATCATTAGAATTATTCTCAGCAACCTCTCCTCCCATCAGTAAACTAGTCACTTAGCTTTCTAACAAAGCTAATAACTGATGCAGTCTGGATCTTCATAGTTTGTTGGGTGTTTTTCTTGCTTTAATGAATCACCCCAATGCTCTCTATGTCACTTAATAAATGGTTTCGAGAGCATTTCACCCGTTCTTGGTGACTTTCACTTTCGACTCGATTCTCTGGCTACATGCCCTTTACGTCCAAGTCCGATGCCACTTGCTTTATAAGATCTCATTATCCAGAAGTCAGCTGCTCTATCGCTAAGAATCAAATCCTCTGCAATAGTTAACTCTCCATCAACAGCGAAGCTTTTTCTTTGTATCCCTGTTTTATGTCACCATCTGTATTGTAGAACTCCATCTTCCCTCATGGTAAATCCCTTAAAATTCTACCAAACTCCAGAATTGAGTGTCCAAGCGAAGTGGCACCACTCTTTCGAATTCGAACTGAAATTCCTTTGATCCTAATAATGGTCCAGTCACTCTATCCAACATGGAGCATATCTCTATCATTTCTGGATGAGATGGATCCCCGACAAGGAACTCGTGAACGATGCCATCAACCTCGATCGAACTACATCCTGGCATCTTTTTAACTCCAAGTTCTTTCATTTTCCTTCTCACCTTCTTTGCATCTTCCCATCTGTCAGCAGAAGCGTATATATTTGCAAGAAGTGTGTGAATGCTAGAATCACATGATTCAAAATTTACCAGTTTTTTGGATAGCCTTTCACCCATGTCAACGTTGTTGTGGATTCTGCAAGCACTAAGTAAGGCACCATACAGTGGAACCAAAATTTGGTCATTTTCATTAGGAATCTCTTGAATCAATTCCTCTGCTTCATCCAACAGTCCAGCTCGACCGAGGAGGTCAATTACACACCCATAGTGTTCTACCTTTGGCTCAATTCGGTAAACCTTCTTCATCAAGTTGAAAAACCGACGCCCTTCCTCAACCAGTCCACCATGACTACAGGCACTTAAAACACCAATGAAGGTGATATCATCAGGTTTAGCTCCCACAAGTTCCATTTCTGAGAACAGCCTAAGTGCTTCCCCTGTCTTCCCATTCATGGCAAGACCGCAAATAATCGACGTCCAAGATGCCGTGTCCTTCTCCTCTAACTCATAGAAAATTTCTAACGATTTATTCACACATCCGCATTTGGAATACATTTCAATTAGTGCAGTCCCAACCACAGCATCCATTGTTATTCTGTTTTCATCTAGGTATCCATGCATCCACTTCCCTTGCTCTAGAGCTCCCAACTGAGCACAACCTGTAAGAAGAGCAACCACAGTGAACTTATCCGGTTTCACCTTCTGAATTTGCATTTTGCGAAACAATGCCACAGCCTCGTCAAAATGGTTGAACTGCACATACCCATTAATCATAGCTGTCCACAGAACAACATCTCTAACTGGACTTATATCAAACAAGTCTCTAGCCTCTTTTAAATCACCACAGTTTATATAGCCAGAAATCATGCTGGTCCAACAAATCACATTTTTCATCGGCATTTCATCAAACACCTTGCGGGCAATATTCAAACGCCCACATTTTGCGTACATATCCAACAGTGCGTTGTTGATTATAGTGGTAAACCCAAGCTCGTTTCTAACATAGTTGTGAATTTCCTCCCCAAGCTCCAAATTTTTCAGAGCTGTACAGGCAGAAAGAGTACTGACTATACCAGCTTCACCCGGTTTCACATTGCTCTCTCGCTGCATTTCCTTAAAGGTGTTAATAGCATCCTCAAATCTCCGACACCTAACATACCCAGAAATAAGAACATTCCAAGAAACTGAATCTTTTGTGTGCATTTCGTCGAACAACTTCTCAGCATACTCGATTTTGCCCAATTCAGCATACATATCCATAAGTGAATTGCAAACATAATTATCAAAGTCCATCCCCGTCTTCACCACAAAGCCATGAATCTTTTCACCATGGCACAAGTCCCTTAAGCAACCAATTGCTTTCAGAACAAACGGGTAAGTAAAATTATCGGGCCACAGCCCATCTTCCTTCAGACGTTGAAAAAGCAAAATAACTTTTCTGAAGATCCCCCTTTTGGCATACGCTTTAACCATCACATTGTAGACAAACAAGCATGGTTCTTGAATGTAATCGAAAACCCTCTCCGCATAGCGCAAGTTCCCGAGAGATGGATCTGCGCAGAACGCCATCGACTTGTTGAGAGTGTCTCTGTCTTGTTCGAGACCGATTCGAAATATATGAGTCTGAATTTGTTTGAATTGATCCATTGACTTGCAGTTCCGGAGATATTGGATGCATGATTTCTTGGTCAGTTTGCAGCTGCAGGATGAGATTGGAACGGAATGGAGAGTTGATGAAAAATGGCGGGAAATCAACTCGATTCTTCGAACGATCGACAGAGGAAGCATGTGAGAGATTTGTGAGTGTTTGAAGGATTGGAAGACCTAACGTAGATGCCGAATTAATCAGAACTTACGAGGCCCAGGCCCAGGCCCAGTACGTTTCATTGCATTTTACTCCAAATTGGGCTTAACTTGATTCAAGTTTTAATGGGCGACCCGAATTACACAATATATTTAGACCAATATTACTCGATTAACACAGCTATTTTTGTTAAGTACAATATGTTGGGAGGATTCGAACTCACGASCTCTTGGTTTGAGGTATATGTCAATTACCTTGCTTTGGCTCAATTAACACACCTAATATAACAAGCTTAAAGCGTTTCAATTGAGATAGATAAAGTTCAAAGTTGTTTGACTCCTTTTGTAACACTTAGAGCATGCTCCGTATGATTCTGATGTGAGACAATCAATTTCTAATATTTTGTCAAAATCTGATAAATTCCACTTTGACAAGATATTGAAGATTTTACAGCTTCTACTGCGCACATTTTCTTCACCGACAATAATAATTCTCAATTCAAAGAGCTATAACTACTCCACCATAAAAGTAGACAACTTGGAATGTAGCCTTCCAATATTTTTCTTCCTCGTCACATGTTAATAAATCATGCTGAAATATAGTGCAACTTCCACCTACTTGGCTTACCTGTGAGTTTTTAAGTCATCGATATAACTTCCATCACACACACCCTACATAACCACCAAGTCAATGCTCATGTGTAAACTTGTGTAACTGCTAACATCACATCCTCTATTATGGTAAAGCAGACATACCATGAGGATGAATTATTTCTCTCTTCACGAGAATTTATCATCTCCCTTGACGAAAGAAACACTATCAGTATCTGAACTAGAGTCCTTTGACGAACCGACTCTGTTAAGAAAATTTTTCTTCATGTGTCCAAACTGCATCTCAAGCAACAACCTTTATTTTGAACGAAATATTTATTCTTCCAATTGTTAGCTACTAGTGTTAAAACTCATGTGAAATACGTCTTTCACTATTCAGTCTTCTTCTTCTCATACATCAAGATGGGCTTGGAGTGATACGATGAGTTTAAGTGTCTTATCTTCGTCATCTATCTTTATTTGATCGACTCCAGCTCAAAGATGATGTTATTGAGGATATCCAGATGATTTGAGATTTTCGTACCTTCCTCAATTTAAAGCGTGTGAAACTACTCATTCATGTACATCCGATTTGAGATACCCTTTGCCTAACATAACATTTCGAGCTTCTCCCAAAATTCTTTGACTATCAAAATTGCATGCATGTTGACAAGATCTGCGGCACAAATCAACCATGGGCTATCGAACCCACATATCTGACAGCGGTCCCCATGAACTCCAGTGGATACCAAGCTAGACAGACAACTCGAGAGCAGCAAGTGGCAACGATAACCCGACGACTCCAGCCATGATAGACAGACGACTCAATTATAGCTCAAATAGTTTAACTCTCATCTCCAACCAAAAGGTCGTAAGTTCAAATTCTGCCCCCACTTGTTCTACTCAAGGGAAAAGAAAAAATATATATCTAATTTGATTTGGTGAAATAATTTAAATATCATTAATGATCGAAATTTGCTTACTTAACCTTTCATTTAAGAGAAAATAATAAAGTTAAGCTATTATAGACCTTATAAAAATTGTTATATGTTTAATACTAGTAATTAATATTATTAAGCACCTTGTACTAAATAAATATATATATATATATATATTAATATTATTAAGAACCTTGTACTAAATAAATAAATAAATATATATATATATATATATATATATATATATATTATATTATATTAAGCACCAAAAAGTTTGAATGTGAGTAGTTTACTTTCTATGAAAGTTGGATCAAATATCATATTCATAACCTTAAATGCACTGAACATTCAGCTAAATTTGCTCATAATTATAATTATGGAATTCAAATCTACCACGAAATAGTCTAACCATTAAAATATTGTTGCAGCAACTCAAAGGTAAAGAAATTTATTAAAAATGTTATTTAAAAATTATTTTAACATCATCGACTTAAAAAATATTTGGAAGTGATTTTGACATGGCTAGAATTACTTTTTATTTTAAAATATAATATTTGACAAAATGATTCAGAAGTGATTTTAGATGTGATTCCCGTCAATCACCAGTGGGATGATTCTCCACATAATTTTTGACCAAAAAATTATTTTTAAAGATTTTTATTATTTTAGTTTTTAAAATTCTATTCACCTTAAATTTTAAGAATTTTTTTTTGTTCGTTTTCTAAAATTGTTGTCACTTTCTAACTTTATTTAGGTATAATTTTGTTTATTTTCTCTAATTTTTTCTCTAAAATTTTTTAAATCTCTCTAAATTTTTAGTTTTCATTTTTTTTTTAAGTTTACTTTATCTAAAATTTTTATCTCAACATCATAAAATTTCTCATCAAGATTTTTATTTTTTCCTAAACTTTTCTCTGTTTAAAAATTTTGTCAAATATTCTTTTATATTAAAATCAGTTTCTTAAAATTAATTATAAAAAAATCTCTTTTATCAAAATCACTAATTTTAAAATCATTCTCATGTCCTTAATTCTTGAGCAGTTAGAAAAAATCATAACCTTTTAGCAACAAACAAACTGAAAATAAATATTTATCTTAATATTTTTTATTTTTTATTTTTGGTAATATCATTTATAGTTACACATGAAATATGATATGTTCACAATTTTCTACTATTTTTATAATATCCTTCATAATTAATATTAGTTAGCTATTTATATAATTAATATTAGATTGTGATCCAACATTTTATTAGTAAATACTAACTACGTTAAAATAACTTAAATAATTATTTTTAGTACAACATGTGGGGTGGAGTGGGGGTGGAGGATCGAACTCACAACCTCACGTTGGAGGTATATGCCAACTGTATTCGCTTTGGCCTTAAATAAATAATTATTTTTTGAAGTTTGTGAAATGAAATAATTTTTTTATCTAACATTTTATTAGCAAATAACGATAAAATAACTTGAATAATTATTTTTTGAAGTTTGTGAAATCAAATAAAATAAAATATTTTTAAAAATCATAATAGAAGTAAAGGTAGGTTGGAAATTGATAATGAAATTCACGAGCTAGCACACACGCACACGTACACACGCACATGCATGTGCGTGCGCACACACACACATGCACATACACGCATGCACAAGCTCGCACGCACGCTCGTATGCACACACACGCGTGTACGCACACGTATATGCACACGCACGTGCGCACACATGCATACACGCACGCACAAGCTCGCCCGCGCACACGCGTGCAAGCACAAATATTTGAAAAGAAAACAATATATATGCTGCTTTGGTGGCTGGTGTGCTTATTGGTCTACAGATTACCATATTCCAAATTCATCTACAAATCCAGAAAGTGTTTTTACAGCAGGTCGAAAAGGATGGAATGCGAGATAATGTCAGGGCAATTAGGTGTCAAATTCGCATTCATAATCCTAGTCCGAATTTTGGACTTTGGAGCGTTGTTTTTTGGTTTTCCTAGATTAGTAAGTGTCGTTACAAGTTTCTTATGAGAATGTTTTATTTGAGTTTTAGTTGTAGAGATTTTATGAAGTTTTAAAAGAGATTGAAATTTCAGTTGTTTATGCGAGATTATTTTTCCAATTAACTTACCACCAATCACTGTTTATCATTTGTTTCTTACGGTTCTACCTGAGTATCATAGAGAAGGGTGGATTAGCTTCAGCTACCGAGAGTGATTCAAGTTACATATCATTTGTATGTTATTTTATTTTAACTTGTAAAAAGGTTTATCTACAGATCTTTTATAGAATAATAGAAGGTTTAGAATGGAGGTTCTGTAAAAGTTCATGTTTTATTAAGGAGGGTTTATGACATTAATGTTTTTCACTCTACATATTAGGTTGTTCCAAATAAGTATCCCTACTTGATTATCGTAATTTGTTAAAATATTTTTTATGGCTTCTTCAAGTTCAACCCAACTCTTCAATGCTGATATTGTTTTTTTTAGCGGTCTCCCTGATATGACTAAAGAAGAGTTGATAAAATACTATCTTGCCTTGAAGAAAACTGAGATTTAATTTCTTCATCTTAATTCTCTTAATTATATTGTTATTTCCCTCTTGTTTATTTCTTTATTATATCTTTTTAGTGTAGGTATGGATACAAAGTTTTTATATGCCCTCTTTCCTCGATACTTTTGTTCTTTGTCGTATTGAGCCTACATCTGGGAGTTGAGTACATTCAAAAAAGCTTCAAGAATGCGCAGGGAAAGCTATTAACCATTACAACAAACAAAATGTAATATTATTTTTTTGCCTTTGATCTCATTAGAATTTCTTTGTTTGGTTTTTACTTGAGAAATAGTTTGATCATATTTATTATGAATATAAGGTACAAGCTTTGAATTTGTGAGAATGGTAAAAGTAGCTAATCAAGCTGTTGTGGATATATTGTATTACATCACCTTGAAGTCCAGCAAATGGGAATCCCCTTAAACTCTCCCACCATAACGGTCCGAGCTCGAGTGCTTCGTAGTATTCGTGAAAATGATGATGACGGTGGTTTTGTGGTAGAACTTGGCAAGCCAAAACCCTTTACTTGAAAGTTGGTAAAGACTCGCCCCTTGTTTCAGTTAGAATGAGTCCCGGACATTGGCTTCGGCCAACAGTAGACTATTAAAGATTGCATCGCGTACAAATTCTACATTATAGCCTGCGACACTTCTACTTGGGCACTACCAACAATATATCACGTGTAGTAACATATATTACTAAATTTTTAATATTTCATCTCAACTCTTATCTTAGGACCACTATTAACAACAGTTATCATGGGTGGATATGTTGTTTTAATTGTTTTCTTGAGAATATTATCAAACATAATTTTACTTAAAGAGGCATATTCAAAAATTTTAACTGTCAAATTAAAGTATTTAAGTTGTGAGTATTAGATTTTTTTCTTTTAACAAACTATATACCAAAAGT